CCTTGATTGTTTTAGTGAATGTATCCCAGATTGCAGTTAGTCGCTTGGCCTTTTTCTTGTCTGCTTTTGATGTGTCATTCTGGGAACATTTTGTCATTCTTGTGGTATTTTTAGACCAGGAGGTGTTCCACATTGTTTCTACTACTTTTGCATACTGTTGCTCTTTCTTAAAATGTATCATTTCAATGTTTTAGATTTGCCAATAGCACCTATTTTTTTTTCACTCAAAAAATACATATTCATGCTAGCAGACAGTGGATCAATGTGTAATGATAGATACTGAAAAAACACATTTTTTCCAGATGCACAAACGTGGCCTGAAGTTTGGAATTTATGAGGATTACGGTAATTTCACCTGCGCTGGATACCCAGGTATTCTTGGACACCTTCAGACAGATGCAGAAACCTTTGCCGAATGGGGAGTCGACTACGTGAAGCTTGATGGCTGTTACTCCCATCCTACAGACATGGACAGAGGTAAGTTATACTGGGTGCTTCTACCATGAATTATAAAAGACTGTGTGGCTTTGTATTGAGATATTGCAAAAGATATAAAAGGCAGCCTTTAATATATATATATTTTTAGAATATGTTAGTTAAATATTGCAATTTTTATTTTCCACCAATCTCCTCTTTAGAAGGGCATTTGAATTTGTGCTAAACTAATGTTTTTGTTTCAATTTTTTCAAATATTTTGCTTTTCATTTTGTGTCATGCTATTGTATTGTAAAATAGAATAAAGGATTACGAAGGTGCAGTGCTTCTGATTGTCAAGTAAGCCCACGAAGAATCCAGTTGCTCTTGACTGCTTGCAAAATGCCACCTTCTTTACCTGTACAGCTTCTTGATAACTGTCACTCTTCTTGCATTATGCTTGTCACTCTTCCTGGCTGTTATCTCGATGCTGAAAGGCTGGGGGTTTAATTTTTATATATTTTTTTAACGTTTTCCCTTTTTTTTTGTTTTAACATGTTTTAACATGTATATCTCTTTAATTTTGGTCTTAGCTTGTTTGTTTGTGTATAATTTTTTCCTGATTGAACCAGTGTTTCTAGTAGAAGAGAGATGGAGATTGTATTGAAAATCCCTGCTAATTGTTGTATCTTGAGCTTTGGTACAAAGATCTTTTCGTGAAAATAAGAAAGAGGACTGCCAAGTAATTATCATTATCATCACATACAGAGGTTTTAGTCGGGCTGAGAAGAGGTTTTCTTAATTACCCAAACCATATCTGTAAACTTATAAATCTGTAGATCTTCATTGTAATCTTTGGGGCTTACAGACTGATTGATAGAGAGCAGGAAAGATTGTTGTTGAATCTCATTATTTTCATCATTTTCATCATTATTTTATATATTTATTATTATTTTTTAATGGTAACTTGGTCAGGTAATGCTTAGACTTGTTAGGATTTCATTTGTTTTGTTTCCTTATTTTTACTTTTTTAGTTTTGAACTCTTAATATGCACTATTAATCATCGTTTACATTTGAGATGATAGCTTTCTTGATTTTCATTATTATTATTATTATTATTATTATTATTATTATTATTATTATTATTATTATTATTATTATTATTTTCATTATTATTATTATTATTATTATTATTATTATTATTATTATTATAATAATAAAATAATAATATTAGTTATAACTATAATAATTATTATTACTACTACCACTTTGTTATTATTTTTACAGTAATAATGATAATTATTTTTTATCATTACTGTTTTTATTATTAATGATATTATTGTAGTGTTGGTATGATTATTATTTTTTCATTTTCATTTTCTTTGTAGCATCATTACTGGTATCATAATCATAACCATCATTATTATTGTTATCATCTTCATCTTGATCATTATGAACGGTCTTATGTTAAGAAGTGGGCTTTTGCACCTTGCCCTAATTCCCTCTTTTTCCCACTTCCTCATCACCCAGGCTACCCCCTCTTTGGTTTCTACTTGAACCAAACTCAACGCCCCATGGTCTACTCCTGCTCTTGGCCGGTCTACCAGACATATTCCGGCATGACGGTGAGAGTCTAGAGGTGGAGGGCGTCCCCAGTTGTTGACTATTTATATTTTTGTTCATTTTTTTTCCCCCCTGTCAAGTGTTTATATTATTGAGGTGCATATCTGGGGAAGCTTTTGTGCTTATTAGTCTTGTTTTCGCGTTTCGAGTAAGGGACGAAACCCTATTGTTCTTGACAGAACTCAGTGAGTATGCTGTGGTAATGGTGGAAATAAGGGTAGGTCTTGGTAGTCTGTGGTGACTCTGTGCTACTGGAGAAAGGAAATGCAAACTTTTGTTGCTCTCAAACTTTTGTTGGGGGCATAAAGCGACTGTAGGAAAGTGTCCTACTTTATCCATGTTACAGAAAAATGTTGAAAGGAAGGTGGACTTTACTAAGTACAATAACCAGGTGACTTTGAAATATACTTAACAAAATGATAAATGAATATCAGTGTAAATAACTGAAATTATGTCAGTTACTGCAATAAATACAAGGGGAAAAAGGCTCAGCCATGTGGCTTAGCATAAGTTGCCTAAATATTTTGTATTTTTACAATGTTGGCCTACCATGTATGGCATCTTCTCAGTTTGGAATAACTATACTCCTTGCTCTGCAATATTTATTTTGCAAACAGCTTGTTTCTCTTTTTTCTTATCCAGGCTCTCTGCTCTGTTTGTCATGTATATTGTTCATCTTATCTTATAAATGGTATTCATTATATTGCTGTTTGGAAAAGGTGACTTCGGATGACCATCATATATAGCTATATATGGGAGCAGTTTCTACTACTATTACTATTACTATTACTATTACTATTACTATTACTACTATTACTACTATTACTACTATTACTACTATTACTACTATTACTACTATTACTACTATTACTACTATTACTACTACTACTACTACTACTACTACTACTACTACTACTACTACTACTACTACTACTACTACTACTACTACTACTACTACTACTACTACTATTACTGCTATTACTGCTATTGTTACTGCTACTATTACTACTGCTATTACTAATACTATTACTACTGCTATTACTACTACTATTACTACTACTATTACTACTACTATTTCTACTATTATTAACACTACTTTTACTACTACTATTACTATGCTGGTGGTGGTGTTGCTGTTGCTAATATTTATCATTATTATTATTATTATTACCATTATATTATTGTTTTTGTTGTTGTTGAGTTCATGAGATTTTATTAAATTTTGAATGAGAGGCACATTACAAAAAAGGTATTGCTCGAGTCTTTGTTCTTTTTCAACCTCGTTTCATAACACGAGTTACACTGGCGTTTGTCATTCCTTGCAAGATACAGAGAAGCTGAATGAAAAAAAACAGCAACTCATCATGCATATCTATACTCTTCAGTGTCGTCTGGACAGTCATGTGCTTGTTATGTGATTTTTGTTGTCATGTCATGCATCTTCATCTGCTGTCATAGAGAAACCTGAAAGTAAGAGTACTCTGTTCTTTCTTCTCTTGTTTCTATTTTATTGGTTGTCTCCCTCCTCCTGCCCCCTCTTCCCTCCTTCTGCCTCCCTCCTCCCTCCTCCCTCCTCCCTCCTCCCTCCTCCCTCCTCCCTCCTCCCTCCTCCCTCCTCCCCCCAACAATGACCACAAGGTAAGGTGTGGTGAGTCTGTATTATTTTCTATGGCCCTGTGCAGACAACTGAAGAATTGGAATGCTCATGTCATGTGCATAGACAAGAATGACTTGCAAGAGGTACACTGGTGAAGATGAATTGCGAACCATTCAAGCTGAAAGATTTTGCATCTGATCATTTGTTTTCATTTGTCTGATTACTTTTCTTTTTTAGCCTTGTCATAGTTTGTAATACAAAACAATTTTATTGAGTTGCTGAAGGAAGCCGTGAAGATTGTTTTTTTTGGTGCTGTATCATAGTGCTGCCCTCATTTGGTTTACGTAACTTTACTGTATAAGGAGATGTGGTGTATTCTCCGTCATGGACAGATGCCACTCGGCACATGACACAGGCCATGCAAAACACAAAAAAAAATAGTGTCTTACTTGTAGGCTTGCTGTCTCTCGCTTTTTATCTTTTGTATATCTTTCTCTTTTCTCCATTTGAAAAAAATTGTGCCGTGTTGCATGACTGTCTCATTTCTGTGATGTTTCTTTTTTGCTTTGCCTATTGCATTCATCATTGAATGTCAGTGTGAAATGATATTGTCGTTGCTTAGTGAGACATGAGTTGGGAAATTTTTCTGTTATGAAATGGCTTTGCAGAACATCTAGCAACAGATCCACAAACAGTATGGAACAGTAGTTATTATATTAAAAGTATCAAACGGTATTAACAGCATTATCATACAATATTAAAGGTGGATTAGAATGTTTTTTTTTTTTTTCTTATTCAGCAGAAAGTGAGATTTGATTGGTTGATTTTCAGTGATTAACCTTATCCGTGGCTATAACCCAAATTCATCTACTTTGAATTGATAATTAAAAAATGGAATGTGGTTTCATCAGACTAAAGTGATTAATTTGTGTTTGTTATTTTGAATTTGAAATCTAATAGACAGGATGGGATGAAGTTCAAAGACTACTACTGTTGAATTCCATTGGTTCTTTTTATTGAGGCTTTGATTAAAGTGAATGGTATGTGCATACAGCGTATAGTTGACAATTAGAATAACCTTATTGACTCCTTCCAAATTTCCTTCTTTGTTTATGTCATTTATATGACTTAATAAATAGTTTGATTATAGCATATTACAGTTCTTTCTGCCATTAACCCTTTGGATCCAGTTACTTCATGGTAGTCACATGGACCAAAATACGGGCATTAGGCTTGTAGGCTGGGCACATTCAACCACTCGTGTGTGGTGGCACAGACTCCATATCATTTCTCTAGGTAGTCTATAATTCAGTCATTCCTATTATTCTTGTACTAACATTTTGTTATTTGTGTAATTAATTATTATTATTATTATTTTTTTCAATATTCTGTTTTCTGTAATACAACCTGTGCTGCCAATCATGGCGACCAGGAGTGGGAAGCTGAGCATGGAAATGGTGCTTTCCCTTTAGCTGGCGCTCTTCCAGTCATGGCTCATGAACACTACATTACACATTCTTTTTATCTAAATGCCAAATGAGAATAATCTCCCTCCAAGAGATTTGTGCACTGTGGCAAGGGTTTCTTGTCATCCTGGCCTTCAGCGGAAATGTTTACAATGGCAAATTCGCATACCGGCCCACAGCCAAATTTTCTCATGACTGCATGTTTATATCACCTGCCCCTCAAGCCAAATTTTTTCATGATGTGATGGTCGCATTATCCAGCTCAAAGGGGTTGATATATCTTGTGTATATAATTTTACCTGGAATTGTGATTCTGAATTTAAGAATTAGGAAGAGGTGAACATTTATTCTTCATTTGGAGCAAATTTTTTCAACATTTTCCTTGTGCATTTCTCATATCTTGGTGTAGTTCATCTTTGAACAGTTTTGAGTTTCTTGGTTCTAGTTACGTTGAGAATAACTTTAGGTATTAATCAAACACTTTAATGTCATACTTTCAAGGAAGTTTGAAATAGATGTTTCTCTAGTATTTTTCTTTTTCTTGTGGAGGCTGCTGTTGCTGGCATTTCTTGTTCCCCACTGTCCTCAATTTTCTTGAACATTATCGCTTTTATTTGTTATTATTGACTTTAATTTTTTTTTCTTCTATTATGTTGTTTTTTGTATTTGTTTAAGCTCTCCTTCAATTTTTCCTGGAGGAGTTAAAGAAATTGTTTTACTCTAGTGTGTAGAAAAACATGGAACACAAATATTTGTGGGCTAAAAGGAGAGAGTTTCGACTATTTGTGATAATTCATATGGACATGCGACAGGACATTAACCAGCACTTCCCATTAACCTTTCCTGCTTAAAATATAGCATTCCTGTTTGACTTCTGAAACAGTATAAAGTAACAACATTCCCACTTTGACAGAAGCACTGTATCCTTCTTATTGTGAAATAATGTATGGGTGAGTGACAAGATGGGGTTTGTTATGCAGGGTATCCAGAATTTGGATATTTTCTGAACAAGACTGGACGGCCAATGGTCTATTCTTGCTCCTGGCCATTCTACCAGATCTACTCGAGGATGAAGGTAAGGGAGACGGGACGAGCAAGACAAAGTGCAATGGCCGGCTTCTATATGTGACGCTTTTCGTAACTCTCCAGCCCTGGAGTTGCTCTCTCAAGGGGACAGAGTGTAACTTTGTAATAAAGGTTGTGTGCTTCTTGCAGATTTGTGTATTATGCTTTCTCTGTGTGGAATTGGCTTCTTGTTGACTTTGTCTGCTGCAGTAATTGTTTGTGAAACTCTTTTACAATATTCCTTTTTTTTTTTTTTTTTTTTTTCTTCAGACTAGCATGGTTTATGTGTTTTTGTATTTGTATATTGTATGTTTTTGATATGTAGAAGTAAGATGTAGCTTTGTAACTTCTAAAGCTAGCACCATTTTTCTTTTGGGTTTAGTTTTCCTTCTTTCACTATTGCATACATATATAATCATACGTCATGTATGTAATAAATACTTAATTATATGTTTAATACATAAAGTATATAATAGATGCCTAGATCAACTTGTATATTCATTTTCATACAGGTATCTGCAGTGAGACCTGTATAAACTATACAATATGCTATAGTTTCATTAGTCTGGATGAGGACTGATTTGCTTACTGGTTAAACCACACTAGTTTGGCAAGGCTAGACTAGTGGATTTTCTGAACAAGAGAAGCATAGCACAAAAAATTAACTCATACACTGTCAATAAACCTAAATAGTACAGGTAATATGCAGACAAGGCTGTCACCATTGTACCACTCTAAAAAGACTATCCTGAGACACTAGTTTTTGTTCCACTATTACCACCAAGTGCATCATGTGTTTGTCTCTTAGGAGGTATATTTTGAGATAGAATATAAGTGATATAAGGTAATATAGCAGTTTCAACCATTCTAAGCAATCTGTGGTAGGTGCAAATAGTAAGGGGTAGTGTTAAACTTGCAAACTAATGACTGCCAGATCCAAAACATTATTTTAACTATTGAAGCTGCCTAACCAGTGAATATTAAACTTGAGGTCAACCTGTAACCGTTGAAATAAATTTATCCCTTATATTGTTAAAGGACCTTTGCCTTAAGCATATGAAATGCACACAAGGTAAAACTAAGTAACAAGTCTAGTGCCAGTTATAAAATGTCCTAGTTTTAAAGTGCTATCTTGTTTTTTTTTCAGTTACTAGTACTACCTATCTCACCTGCTTACCTTTTTCTTTGATAATTTTTTTTTACATTGCTATTAGTAATGTCAATAACGTTATGGTAATTATGATGTGTATAATAATATTAACAACATTGTTATTGATAACATAAACAAAAAATCCTGAAACCTTGAGGGAAGGTGAAATCAGGTGAGGTCAAAGAGCTCTACTAATTGACTCCTTAATGGCTAAGCATTTGTGGAGTCATGCATGTGTGAGACATTTCACAAACCAAAACAACAGTGAACACTACCTTTTCCCAGTAGCATTAGCACATATTAGAAAAGGTTGGGAATCACTGGTCTAGCATAACATAATGATTTAGTTACTTTTATAATGAATTGAGAATCAAAAACTTTTTCCAGGTTTCATATTAAGATTCCTTTGTTTAAAAGAGGTAAGAAAAGTAGGAATTGGTTTTGAGAGCAGAGTACTTATTCATCTCCATGCATGTTACCCATGATCAGCAGTCTAACCTGAGATTCATTAGTACCTGAATAGGGTACTGTAGTCAATGCATTAATAGTAATGCTTTATGTGGATGTATTATCACTGCTTTCTTGCATGTTTACAAGACAAAACAAAGGATATGAACCCAGATTCTGAAGTTTATGGCCTAGTGTGTGTGGCTTGGATAATGGTTTCCTTCTTTGTATTACAGGTGTTTGTTCTAATTTTCAGATTTCATGTTACTAACATGAATAATTACATACTGAAATAAGCCTGAATACATTGATGCTAGAATCAGCATAGTCTTAATTTAAGTGAGTTTCAGGTTTATTATGATATTTAAGTATCAGATTTGTATCTACTTTGAAATTTACATAATTCTAAATCTTGTGATGATTTCAGCCAAACTACAGTGCTATCATTAACACCTGCAATCTATGGAGGAACTTTGACGATATCCAAGATTCCTGGGAGTCTGTTCAGAGGATCATTGACTACTACGGTGACAACCAAGATGAGATCGTGCCAAATGCTGGACCTGGACACTGGAATGATCCCGACATGGTATGAGGGCTTGGAAATTAGTAACTGAAATGGCTTGATTTCAATATCCTTTGTCTGACTCTTCTTTTTCCCTCCTGAATATACAGTGTAGATCACAGTTAAGATGCAAACAATTTTTTAAAGATGCATTATTAGTAATATAGATCATGTAATTATTTACAGTTGATCATTGGCAACTTTGGGCTCAGCTATGAGCAGTCCAAATCCCAAATGGCAATGTGGGCCATCTTTGCTGCCCCGTTGCTCATGTCAGTAGACTTGAGGACAATCAGACCAGAGTACAAGGCCATTCTGCAGAATCAAGCTGTAATTGCTGTTAATCAGGATCCTCTTGGCATTCAAGGAAAGAGAATATATAAGGTAAGTTGAATGGAAAGTTTGGGTTTCTTATTGAGAAAGAATATTGGAATGGGGTTGAATATGAATTATTATTATTTTTTTTTTCTTGATGTTTCTAAGAATCTGTTTCAGTTTATATATAAATGTTTTATATTATTTCAAAATTATATCTTTTTAGTGGTATTCTGACTTCAGAATGTAAATGTAAATAAGAGGACAGAACTTCAAGCATTGATGTTGAAGATATAAAGTTGTTTAACCTGTGTAACTAATCTTTCCAGGACAAGGGCATTGAGATTTGGGCTCGTCCAATTTCCCCAATCTCTCAGGGTCACTATTCCTATGCTATTGCTTTTCTGAACAGACGAACTGATGGAACACCTTCAGAGGTAAAGAGTTACAATAATTCTTTTTGACTAGAATTCTATTTTTTTCACAAAGCAGAAGCAAACATTTTTATCAATGTATTTTTCATCTAATATTAGGACTAGTGTTGAGTATCAGCAGGTGATGATAAATGTTAATTATATGATGTAAGTGAGATACTGTTGGTTACCAAAGAAAATTTACATTATTTAGCTGATACTTCCTTTTGATCAGCATAGCAAAGTTTTAAAATTATCATTAATGTCTTGCAGGTTTCTGTAACTCTGCGAGAGTTAGGTCTTGCCTTCCCTGGTGGATATGCGATAACAGACCTGTTCGATGGTGTCCAGTATGGAACAGTCCTACCAGACAAGCGATTCAAAGTAGACGTGAATCCCTCTGGTGTCGTGCTGGTGAGATGTGAGGTTGTGAAGACTACTGGATTTGGCTCTGATGTTAGAGCTCCAGTCAATCCTGCTCAGCCACAGAGTGCTTTCAGGAACCCTTTTAACAACCAGCTGTTTAATCCATTTGGATAACCATGTTGTGTAGTTTAGGTTGTTATTACACAAAACTCATGTGAAGGTCATTCCAGTATCTATAGTATTTTTTTTTCCATATCTTTTCCTCCCCCTCTTTTCATAAATGAATTTCTTATTTATAGTTGCATTTGCTATGAAGTTTGAAATGGTGTTCAAAGAACAATTTTGCATTTTAAGTTCTTAGATCTTAAGCCCCAGATTTATTGTGATTTCTTTACAAATGCAACATGGATCTCATACCTTGCAAAGAAATTGATACCATTTCTTACATACAATAATTGATTATAAAAAAGTATCTAATCCTTTTATGACAAAGGCTGGAGTTGAGCATCAAAAATGTTTTCATTTATGGTTCAGAATGTGTTAACAATGATTTGTGTAACCTACTTAATACCACAAGCTTGGAATCACACAGTATAACTTATATAAAACGTATTTCTTGTGGTTGTAGTTACTGCATTATTTATATATATTTGCAAATATATATATATTTTTTTTTTTTTACAAAGATGAACAAATATGGTTATAAAAGCTGTTGCATTTTTGTCTGTTGGTAGTCCTTGTATGATAGTTTATAGTGTGATAAATGGTGATCCATATCTTATAAATAGAAGCTACAAATTCTGAGATACACAAAGTGCAAGGTGCATTTCTTGTTCATCAGAGCATGAAGAATAACCCTTAAAGATTAGTTAGTGAATTCTCAGTTTCAATACTACATTGATGTTATGGGCATGTTAACATCAGCAGGTGTAAATTTTTTATTGGTGCTGCTATATGTGGTTTTGACATTTTATATTGTTTGATAGTTTCATTTGCATTGACACTGAAAATGTTCACCTGTATTTTCATTCATTGTTATTAATCAATATTGTAAACAAGTTGAGACATTTTATCATTTGTATTAATATTTAAATTTACCTCTTGTCTTTGACATACACACCTTCCATGTTATGTTTAAGTACAAGTAAATATATTATAATTCATACTTGTTTTATGGACCATTTTTATGAAGTATCCTATTGTACAATATTAACACACCTGCATGAACCAGTGTGATTAAGGTAGGTGGGCAGTCATGAGTGGAGCTATTGGCCAGTACTAATTTATACATATTTGTAACTAGCAGTGTTCTTTCTTCATGGATACTTAATACATTTTCCATTGCATCATATACTTGCCAACTTGCTGTATATTGTAAATTAATGAGCCTAATAAGAAAAGGTTCTAATTTAGTTGACATATCTTTTGATAACTGTTTTATATGTCACTGAGAAGATAAGGAAATAGCAAAATGCTTTCCTTGATTGATAAAGTAAGGCTAACAAAATTTTGATGAAATTGCTAAAAGTGGAATAAAGACTTGTGAAGGAGAACCTAAAACAGATAGGCAAGAAGAAAACAAAAAAGCCAAATCGTTCTCTTTATCCAGGGATATATATATATACAAGCACCCTAATCCCTTGTCCATTGTTGTTGTGGGGAGGCTTAGGTGATGGAGACTGAGGTTCAGTGTTGGGGATTCCCTGCCTTGAGCCTCAGCCTGCAACTCAACTAATTTTACCTTGTTTCTTCTTCTCCAGCTTCTCTTGCTTTTCCTTACCTTCCCCTAAGGTGCAAGAGCCATGTTGAAAGGCAGCCTGCTGGCGCCTCTGTGGCCAACCTGGTCATGACTGTTCAAACTGCCCTGCACAATCATGTATATGTGCTAATTGTGTTGGCTCTCAATGTATTTTATAGGGTCTTCCTTGTCTACAAGTTTGAGGTTTTTCAGTCACTCTCTATTCCAATACCATCCTTCACTTCTCTCCTATCCCCTCTACCCAACTAGTCTCTACATCTTCCTCAGTACCACTTCCTCTTGCTCCTCAACCTCCCCTATCTCCCAGTTAAATTCATATACTTCCAATATCCACAACTCCACCTGTCTCTCTCCTTATTCCTCGTATCTATTGCACCAGACAATCCAAATGTTCCACCACATCATCTTGCATCCCTTCCCACATCTACATCCTCTACTCCTTAGATTTCTATCTTCTCTTTACTTCATTTTCTTTTGTTTACCAAACCTTCCCACCCAAATCCCCTCCAGAAACCTTTGAGAACATTAGAAACTTCCAAAGTAAGACTCAAGAAAAAGCTCCACTCTCTCATTCATCCTCCTTTTACTCTAACCCCATTCTGGCTACATTCAAAGTGATTGCCGACATCCATCCATCCTCCTCATATTCCCCCTACACCTCTTCCCTCTACTCCCTCCCAATATACCCTGTCCTCCCCTTCACCCACACCAAAACTGCCTCCTTCCCTACTATTCCCCCTGGAATAGTAGGGGGCAGGGCCGGATTATCCTATAGGCTAGTATAGGCTGCAGCCCCCTGTTATTCCCCCTGGAATAGTAGGGGGCAGGGCTGGATTATCCTATAGGCTATAAGCTGGAGCCCAGGGCCCCTCAAGCTTGGGGGCCCCAAGCTTGAGGGGCTTGGTTATATATAAAAAAAAAAAAAAAAAAAATTCACTACGGTTGTGTTGAAATATACTAAAATAGTGGTATTTAAAGAATATTTTTATTGACAAACAAAAGATAGCTATGCTAGTTTATTTATTCTTTATCTCCATCATCAGGTGGTACTACTCCTCCTTCTCAGACATCCATTTCTACTGCTATCACTTGCTGATTGATCCAAAAGGACTTCTACAATGGAACATTCAAGGTTTTTCTTCCCCTATTCTCCAGTACCAATTCCAAATTATCCTTTTATGTCATCCCTTGCTCTATCTCATCTATACTCAACCATCAAAAAAACACCACACACTATACCTCCCTTCCTAACCACTGTCCTTTCTCAATTTCAACCACCATTCCTTATAGTTGGCAATTTCAACTGTCACCAACCTCTTTGGGGTGACTACCACTACTTCCCAGGGCTGTTCCCTTGAATGGTTTCTTTTTAACACTGACTTCATCCTTCTAAACTCAGATCGCCCCACCCACTTTGACGTATGCACTCATACCTTTTCATGTCTTGCCGTTCTCTTTGCTCTCCTTCCCTTCATGTCGAACTTCCTGACCACACATCAGAATGTGTTCCATGGTGGACACTGAAAACTCCAAAGCATTTTGATTGAAGCGTGCGACATGGAGTAATTATTGCTACAAGCGGAATACCCCCAGCCAAACATCAGCTTTTATTAATTTTAAAAGAGGATCAGCTCAACTACATTGCACAATTCAAATCTCAATTGAAACCAAAGGGCAAAATGAGGTCTCCACAATTAGCTCATCTGCACCTATCAATAAGCTATCAGGGTAACATCCCTCATCCTGCCCCAGTCCTCCACATCGATAACTCTCATTTCTGAACTATTATATGGTACTACTGAACTTGCAGCATATTTCAGCCAGACCTTTCTTCCCAATTCCATTCCATTAAAACAACCAAGGAACACTCCCATCATCTTATCCTCTGCAGAACCCAACAATGCCCCCTTCTCTGCCTTACAATCGTGCCGCAATGCCTGACGACATTCATTGCCGTATAGACGACGACTTCCATCTAGCTCCTTATCTTTCCTATTGACAATCTTTAACAATATTTGGATGACAGGAAACTTTCCTCCTCAGTGGCTGGAAGCTCTTATTCTACCTTTCCTTAAACCTAATAAATATCAAGACTAGCTTCTTGTGCAAGTTGCCAGAAAGAATGGTCAGTCCAACAGTATCATCTTCCCAATTTGGATTCCGTTGTGCTGGAAGCACAGCTGACCCTCTAGCACATTTAGAAAATTGTTTAACATCTACCTTTGCACGCCATAACGTTTTTTTCGACCTGGAAAAGGCATATTAAACTCCATGGCAATGCCATTTTCAGACAACTATCACCTCATAGCATACGAGATAACACGGGTGTATATATCAAATCTTTCCCTCTAATCGTATCTTCCGAATCAAAGTTCTCTCTTCAACTTCATCATTTCCTCAATAATCAATATGAAGGTGTCCCATAAGGGAGTGTAGTTAGTACAATATTATTCCTTCCAACCATAAATGGCTTAATTTCGGCATTACCACCAGTTATCTGGGCCCTTCTCCACCTACTCCTTCAAATAATCCAGTCTGCAATGTCTTCCCATAGATTCCAATTTTCCACCTCCAAATCCTTCTCAATCCTTTTCTCTCGACCCTTCCGCTCCTCGGGCAAATTCCACGAAGTCCAAACTTTCCTGTCGAGACCACATCCTCTATGTAGCGTCATGTGTGCCCGACGCGCTATTAATACAACAGTCTACTTTGAAACTGGAAGGTAACTCTGGCCGCTCGATTTCAACTCCGTTTTCGATTAATTATCAGATATATGTATTGATAATGTTCTCACATTAGACCATCCATTTTCATTAATTTCCATCATTCAATTATATACGTATTCGTATAACTGCTCACACATTATACAGGTTCATGTATATATACCTTATTTCATTGTAAATGTAATTATTTGCTTTGTTGATTATTATCTCTTAAAAAGCTGACTGGCTGGACTGCAGCATAGGATTATACTTAATTGCTGGTTAACAATTTATTAAATAATAGTTAAGTTACAATATATATAAATTTCACTAAATGCCACAAGAAAGTTATCTTTTGCTGTTCTTTCGTACTTGCGCCAACACCACAAAATACGGAGAAAATACATAGCCGTTTATTCTTACGAAATCGGGGGTGGGGTGTGCGTGCGTGCGTGTGTGTGTCAACGAGAGCGTATGTCCAGCCAGTCGTGAGCGTGAAATCCCACGACCTTGAAACTCACCGCATGGGGGCACGACCTTGAACGGCTCTGATTGGCTGGGGCTACACGTCCGTTAACCTGATTGGTCTAGACGTAATTCGGCGGTATATCTTTTAGAAATAAAATTAGGTGGAATAGTAATGCAGTAAAATGTAATAAAATGCATCTTACAAAACATGTATAAAAATAGATAAAAACATTAAAAGAAAAAAAACTACACCAGAAAATAAAATAGTGTATGCTTAAAATAAACAGAAAATGGTCCAGACGTAATTCGGGGATATATCTTTTAGAAATAAAGTTATATACTATAGAGTACTAAAAATTAATGCAGTAAAATGTGGCAATAAAATGCATCTTACAAAGCATATAGGAAAATAGATGAAAACATTAATAGAGAAAAATAAAAACTATATAACAAAATAAAATAGTTGATGCTTAAAGTAACGAGAAAATGTAATATAATTCTTAACAGAGAACGGACGTGAGCCATTTTAGGCGGCACTCGTATACATCCTTACAAGTAGATATGTTCGTATATATACAAATTATAAGCCAGGTGGACCTCGGGGTACACTACAGTGTTCCTCCCAGGGGCGAGAATCGCGAAGTTGGGCGGAGCGACACAAGACATCCGTGGCACACATCACTGTCTGAAGGTAGTCTGAATCAAGTTTGAGAGTGCTGTGCCGGTGCATAGTTCTGTGGGAGAAATCAGCAGATAAGTATATATTCACATAATTTGAGCTGGGTGAAAATATGAAAGAACTGCCGAAACTAAATGCTGAGTGATTTACAAGTTGATTTTTTAAAAGTTAAAAGGATTGTAGTGGTTTGTGGACAGCTACTCTGCCACTCATCCTGGCTACAGGAGCTGACGAATATTCCTCGGGACGTGAATTATAGGGCATGAACATGGGCATGAGGGAATAAGCCGGGCACAGTTCTGCAGGATTAAACACACACCAGTCTCCGTCTTTGGCTGCTTTATTTCCTGCTGTACAGTGTACAAAAATCACTGGCGTGTTCGACATAAATGCAGGGCACGGTATACAGCACAGAAAATATCAAATAGTACCAATAATCACTAAACACAAGTCCTCCCTCAGCCCACACTCACACCTTTTCACGACCGAGGTTACCCGCCAACTGCCTGCCGGTGGCGACTTCACCGCGCACTCGGCGAAGTGGTTGCCACCTAT